AACCTGTTTTCTCTCTCACGAGGAGGGCTACCTTCACCACCTGCACCTGCCATAATTCAAGGAAAAGAACAAGAATAAAAGAAATTGGACCTCACCACTCGCTCACGTGTTTACACTCTTAAAATGTATCACTCGTGTTTGTTGCTCTCTATTAGGCTTTTGTGTAATGTGCTCTCTTGCCTTTTTCCTCTCAATAGCTCTCTTTAAGTTCTTAACAGAATCTCCAAGAACACTCAAGAGTACAATCCCAAACTCAAGAATTCGTAATGACAAATTGGAAATATGTCAAAGAAGGCAAAACAAAGAAAACCAAAACAAATTGAAGGAATTATTCAAGGAAGACACTTTGGACCTGATTTGAGAGTAGTAGTGTGTAACAAGTAGCTGTATAGCATATATATATTTTTTTTTTTCAACTCTTTTTTTTTTTTTTTTTATAAAACCTGATGCTTCAATAAAATGGAATTTTTAATTTTGGAATGAAAAATTCAGATTGCAGTAATGCTAAACTGAATTTGATTGAATTCTCCACAAAACAAGCTATTATTTAACACACTAACAGCATACTACTCAAGGAACAAGGATTGAAAGGATTAAAAATCAAGAACAATGATGAACATAGGACGAACCTTAAGAACACAAGTGCAGAAATTATGAACACAACAAGAAATTGAAACAAACAGAATATCAAAGGAACAAATTAGGAACCAACAACAAAGGCTAAAACAGAATTGCACAATTCAAAATTAAAAACACAAATACTAGGGATTAGGGTTACCAAATGTGTGATCAGAATTGATGGAAACAATGGAGAAAAATCAAACCCAATTCCAATCCTAGAACTGAGCTCTGATACCACATGATATGATCCCCAATAGGAATGGAGGAATGGATCTACTAGGAATGGAAATTCTAACCCCAAATTCATCCACCAACACGACCTGTTAAGAACAGAGCGTATCTCACGCTACAGACCTCGGATTTGGGTGATTCCAAAACGAGGTGAAAGATGGCTTCTTGAATCACGATTTTGGCACAAGAATCACCGGAAAAGGATAAGGAATTCGAGAGATATGAATCCAAGATAATATAGAACGAAATTGGAGTTTAAGGATTATAGGTAGGCGCCACAATTCGAAAGAATTGATAAGCCCAAGAACGCCACAAGGATTGATGCCCTTGATAAGTTCAGAGATTCTCAAAAGAACCCAAGAGAACTAGTCTCACCAAAATAGGTTAACTTGATATTCCAAATCTGTCTTCAAAAGCCATGGTGTTCCCTTATATAGTGGGCAACAACCATATTGAGTTTAACCTAAAAGTACTTACACATAAAAGAAGATAGACAACCCAATAATCCAGCCCAATAAGCCTTATTACAAAAAGTTTAACTAAATATAAGAAAATAAAAAATTAAGTGCAGAATTTGGGCCAAGTAAAATAAAGCCTTCATGCATATCCATTGAGGCTTATTCTTCAAGGTCTTCAATTTTAATTAAGTGTATCATTTTGGGCTCTTCTTCCTTTAGACTTGGGCTTGTCTCAAGTAAAGTGGTCACCAAGAGATTTAGAGCCTCTTTAGCCTTTTTAGCTTTTGCTCTTGTCATTGGGCCTCCAAGACCTTGTATGTCCTCCAAGTTTGTTGTCTTGGTCATGCCACCTCCTATGTCCTCATCGTACTAAATTATAGAGAAGCAGTTTTACCTTGAGAACCATCAGCTTTCTTAACTAAGGACTCATAATCAGCCGCCAAGAGGTTGGGGCGCTTTCTTTTAGTCTTAGGTCCAAATGCATCCTCAAAAGGCTGTCTATCAAGAAGGTGAACCCTTGATTGCTACATTCGAAATCCACAAAATTAGTAAATTTCAAAAAAAATAATAATAAAAGAAAGCACATAACTATTAACAAACAAAACAAAATCCTTGCAACAAATAAACAGCTTAATAAATAAACCTTTTGGTGGTCGTTGAGGAGTGACAGTGGCAATTTCTTCTCCTTCAGAATAACATTGTAATTACTCGACATGCGGCTCTGCAACTCTTCTCTGAAGAACTCAAGCTCTTTCTGATTCACAACCCGAGTGTTCCCTACAAATCATGAAACCGAAAAATTAAAATAAAATAAAATTGTCAAAACCATAAAATTCACAAGTTCAAGTTGAAGAATCGTGATTAGCAAAAAATGAAGGATCCATGATGGTCTTATCTAAAAACAATACACGGGTGCAAAGTTAAAAGTAAAGTACATAGGATAATATAATCTTTATTTGCTAAAATAGACTGAGGAGTGATAGAAATATTTTCTTTTGCTAGGATAGAGTCCATGTCCTCGACAGCTTGTTGTAGCGAGCTGACTTGCTTCTTTAGAGTGTCTACTTCCAGTTCCAACTCGGCTACCCGGAGGTCTGAATCCTCAAAGTTCTTTTTCAAAACTTTATGACCTTCAGTCAGCTGGTCATTTTCCTGTTTCAAAGTAGTAAGCTCGTCTCTGGCTTTCTTAGCCAGTTTTTCAGACTCTTTAAGCTTAAGTTGAAACCCCTGCGTGGCAAACTCGGCGGCTTCGGCTCTTTGAGTCAGGCGAGCATGTTTAGTCTTAAAATTGTTATTAAAGAGTCGTAACTCTTTAAACTTGACGATTAATTGCTCCAAGGAAAACGGAGGAGTTAAAGACTTTTCTGTAGGTGATTCAGATCTGGGTTCATTAATCTGAACTTGCTTTCGGGGTTGAGGTTCTCCAGAATCAACAGGCGGGTCCATATCCAAAATCACAGTGTCATTTGGAATGGAACCAGTTATAGCAGAGGTAGCCGGAATGGAAGAAGGAGTAGGAGAACCTTTTTTTTCACCAGAAGACGAGGAGTGAATCTTCTTCCCAGATACAGTTGAGTCTCCTTGGTGAGCAAACTTTTGTTTTTTACGAGCAAAAAATGAGGGATCCATGATGGTCTTATCTAAAAACAATACATGAGTGCAACGTTAAAAGTCAAGTACATAGGATAATATAACAAGAGGTTAGTCACTTACTTAATTTCTTGCAAATCCAAGCAGGAGAATCTTTATTTGCTAAAATAGACTGAGGAGTGATAGAAATATTTTCTTTTGCTAACTCGGAAGTCAGCTTTTGAAACCAAGTAAAAGTTTCAAGTTCGTCAGTACTCAAATTCTTTGAGTTAGTTAAAAATGCTTTAACAGGTGTACTATAATAATGTTGGTTCCAACTGAGAGGGAATCGAGGAGCTCCGTCCTGATCCAGAAAGAAAGCAGAAGGAGTGGCAGATTGAAAAGAAGAAGAAGAAGCATATGGTGTAGCCGGAAGAGCTTCAGGTATACAAATCTTGAAATAATCTTCCTTGAAGTTCTTCCAATTGTCTTCGTATATAGTACACTAGCGAAATCTAGGGCGAGCTTTTAAGGAAACCCAACTATGACGAGTACTTCCTCTATCGATAACATTGCGGAATACGGCGAATAGACAAAAGAAAATCCGAAAAGAGTACGTGAACCCAAAAGATCTACAGATTATCTCAAAAGTTTGTAAAAAACACCAGCTGTTTGGATGAAGTTGAGAAGGGGCGATTTCAAGATGGTTTAAGACGTCCATTTGAAATTCAGTGAAAGGTAAGGATACCTTGAGCTCGGAAAATAAGCATTTATAGGCAAAAAAGAAAGAATTCTCACCTTGCCCGGAAGGTGAACATATACGTTCCTCTTCTCCGGGTGCAGCAACTCGAAAGGAAGTAATAATGGAGTCACGGAATAGAGGGATGGACTGTAAGGCAGCATGAAGATTACTCGAATTATTCTCATATAAAGAACGAAGGCCTAGAGCTTCTTCATCAACCCATGCTAGACCTTCCACAATAGAAGGAAGAGCGAAGCGAGAAAGTGGAAGCGAACGGTAGGGACGATTCCTCGGCGGCATGGCCTGGACGGAAAGGTACCAGTAAAACCTAGTTTAGAAGATATATTACAAGTTAAAAAGTTCAAATGAAGAAAATGGTGGTTATCAGTGGTTATAAGGGTATTCCTAGTCCGTCCAGAACGCATAAAGCCGGAAAAAAAGTCTTAAAGAAGATGAAGGAATAAATACAAGGAAGGTTCTTATCAAGATAAAATGTGAGTCTTTCGAGAGCATGTTTAAAGATGCAGGTAATAGTTCTTAGAGTAAAGGTTAAAATTAAACAAGAAAGAAGAAACGAAAGAGAAGAAACAAAAGCAAATGTAAAGATGAAAGTACTTACTGGTATAGTCTGATAACGAACAGCAACCAAATGCAGCAGAGTAGTTTGATGAAGAACAACAACTAAATGCAACAGCATCACACCAAGTTTGCACAAAGAATTTCAAGAAAGCACAGAAAGAAGAAAAGACCAGAAAACTTAAAAGAGAAGGAGATGAAGAAGAAGATGATGGAAAAGAAGGTGGGGGTTTTAAGGAGAAAAAGGAAAGGGGTGAATGGGAAAATCAAAGTAGGTAGTAATAAAGAGAAGCGAAAAAGTAACGGGCTTTTCGAATCTCGAAGGACAATAATGGCTGTCAGGATATGACGTTTCAGATGGGCAACCGTTTGGAGAATCAAGGCAACAAGAAAGTGACAAATGGCAATCAAGATTAGGATTAAGTAGGAAGCATTTAATGAGGATGCTGACGTATAAGAAAGAGAAGATATAAGGGGTAAAATAACTTATAAACTCGGAGTAAAATAGACATTGCACTCCGAGCTTGGGGGCTTAATGTTCCGGGTTTATACATCCGGGTATCAATAGTCAAGGAAAAGAGTTGATAGAACCCGGATGGGGTTTTACCCGGAAGGGAAGTCGGCCAAAATACTATAACCCAAAGTGGGCCCTACCACGATTACATGATGGGTTTCTATAACTACCCACGTTCACAATAACCACCTACGGAAGGGTTATATATACCAAAGACCATAACTAACATAGGGGATAGACAATAATCATACTAATGTTCATACACAACAGCAATAATTTTCAAACGGGGAGTACTAAATTATAGAGAAGCAGTTTTACCTTGAGAACCATCAGCTTTCTTAACTAAGGACTCATAATCAGCCGCCAAGAGGTTGGGGCGCTTTCTTTTAGTCTTAGGTCCAAATGCATCCTCAAAAGGCTGTCTATCAAGAAGGTGAACCCTTGATTGCTACATTCGAAATCCACAAAATTAGTAAATTTCAAAAAAAATAATAATAAAAGAAAGCACATAACTATTAACAAACAAAACAAAATCCTTGCAACAAATAAACAGCTTAATAAATAAACCTTTTGGTGGTCGTTGAGGAGTGACAGTGGCAATTTCTTCTCCTTCAGAATAACATTGTAATTACTCGACATGCGGCTCTGCAGCTCTTCTCTGAAGAACTCAAGCTCTTTCTGATTCACAACCCGAGTGTTCCCTACAGATCATGAAACCGAAAAATTAAAATAAAATAAAATTGTCAAAACCATAAAATTCACAAGTTCAAGTTGAAGAATCGTGATTATTATTTTATTTTTTGTTGTGAAATTGAAACTAACCGAACCAACGGCGATCAGGTTGGATTCGCGTGCTGGGAAGCTCCTTAGACTGATATTCGTTGGTCAAAACCTTTCCCTTGCGGTCGCGAACTGGCCTCGTGTTGTACATCTTGAGGCGGCGCACGGTGGCGGCGGAGCGTGACTCCTTCTTCGTGTCATTGCTGCGATTCACGTCGAGTGAATGCTTCGGTTTTCCCGAGACGTTCACTTTCCTCTCCTTCTTCTTCGTCATTGCAGAGATAGAGAGAGAAACACAGAGATATAGAGAGAGAGAGAGTGGTAGTGAGGTTCAACTTGGTTTGTTACGTTCAACTTGGTTTGTTCCAACTGAAAGAGGGGTACCGCCAAATACACACAGTTAAGGATTAGGGTTTCGTTCTCCAGAGACAAACGGTGGGAACTTTTCTTTTCTTTTCTTTTTGCGAAAAGGATTAAACCGGGGAGATTATTTATAGTGGAGTGGTGGGGACCAGTGTAAATGGAGAAATAAAATTGAAAAAAAGAAAATATCACAATGGTAAAAAAGGAAAAAAAAATTGATGATATGATAAAGAGCATCAGATTATTCGATGATTCTGAATAGGGGTGTTCGCGGTCTGGATTGGATCGGTTTTGGAAGCAAAAATCATCTGATCCAATCCCTTCGGTTTGATCATATAATTATCCATTCGGTTTGGATTTTTTTTCAAATCCGATCCGATCCGATCCAATTTTTTTCGGTTTGGATTGGATCGGTTTTCGGTTTTTAGAAAATCCTAAAATTTATTTCATGATTATTGTGCAAATAACATCTTTTGTATATATTCTCTTTGTAAATTATTATTTTTTGAAATACAAAAACATTAGTAAACTATAATATAGGACAATGAGATATGAAGCTCTACAAAGATAAAATTTTGTTGATGAGATGTGATTAGATTTTTTCTTGGATTTAGTTAATGGGTCTTGGGTTTAGAAATTTTTTGGTTATAATTAAGGAAAGACCCAAGTAGGTAGAGGAGAATTAATATATTGGATCGGTTTGGATTGGATCGATTTTCATCAACTCATCCAAAAACCGATCCAATCCAATTAAAATTTGCGGTTTTTTTTCGGTTTTTGATTTTTCGGTTTTCGGTTTAATCGGTTTTCGATTTTTCGGTTCGGTTACCGCGGTTTGAATCGGTTTGGATCGGTTGATGAACACCCCTAATTCTGAACCATAAAAAATATTTCTAAACCGGGGCCCCAAAGTTAAGTTAGTGGGCCTTGGAGCTCCTATTAAGAAAAAGAAAACAAAAAGTCCAAGAAAAGAGCCAGAATATTTTTATTATTTTTTTATTATGTATTTAAATAAGATTTTTCAGCTGAAAAAATTAAAATATATATTTGAGAGTCAGAGTATTTTGGTTGAAAGTTGTTTTTATTATAAAGTCATGCTTACTCACCTACTTTGATAATATTTTTAATTAATAAAAACTGTTTCGAATAATTTTAAAATGAAATTTAAATGTTTGGAATAAGAAAAAAGAATTTTGTATACCTTATCTTACACCGTTATACCTAATAAAAGAAAAAAGAACGAGAGAGAATGTGTATTTAAAAATGTGTTTTTTTCTATTTTATTACTTATAAAAATGGCAGAAAATTTTTGTAATGAAATTGTGTGTAAATAAAATAGTCTTTTTTTCTTCGTAAATTCAAGAGGTATCGCCACTCAATCAGAGGGTGTATTTACAAAAACTGTCATAATCAAACTAACAGAATTCAAATTATATCATCTGAATTAGTTTATTTTATCTTTATTTTGATTTCTTTAATTTATTTTATCTAATTATTAGTAAGATTTAATGTTTGTCCTTTTAAATGACATAGAATTATATTATTTCAAGTGAGAAAAAAACACAAACAATGAAAATAATAGAAAAGAAAGTAAGTATTTTTAAAAAAATTAAATTTTAAATACATTTTTTTAAGTTGTGTCTCTTTCACACTTAAAATGAAATAACTCTATTTCCTTTAAAGAATAAATATTTTTACCTTATTAATATTAGTTAACTTATTTCAAATTATATTATTAGATAATTTATACTTATCCACAAAAAAAGATTTTTATAGTTATGTCTATGTTTTTATATTATATCTTAGAAATGAACTTTCATTTACTACACTTCTCCTAATACATTCTCTCCATCACTTCCTCAGACCACTACCTCAGGGTCACCAACTGCAGCAATAAGAACCAATTCAAATGTTTCCTTCTCTGGACATACCGATGACTCTGCTCCTAACTTGATACATGATACATCATTTCATTCTTCTGACAGTGCTATACCGCCTTTTTCTTCTGACAGTGCAGTACCATCCTCTATTTCACCTAACTCTAATTCCTCACATAATAGAGTCAGTTCATCTCAACCTTCTGCTACTGCTGATAAATCTCCTAACACCAGTTTTACTCCCTCATCCAGTCAAATCAATCATTCTCAGTCTTCTAACTCTAGCTCCCCACCCTTAAATACTACAGTGCAGTCACCTGTGTCCACTGTCTCTCCTATGTCTTTATCTTCTTCTCCACCTTCATTAGGATCTGGATATCAACCCTATAAATCTCTTAAAATACACTCTCCTACTCATACTATATTACCAGATCTAAAGGTCCAGTCCCTTCCATTTTCACTGCTCATATGGAACCAACCAGTGCTAAACAAGCTCTAACTGACCCCAAATGGGCTCAAGCTATGCAGCAGGAATATGATGCTCTCAGCAGGAATATGGTCTCTTATGCCTCTGTCAGCCTCAAGGAAGCCCATTGGTTGCAAATGGATCTTTAGAATAAAAGAAAATTCTGATGGTACAATTAATAAATACAAGGCAAGGCTAGTTGCCAAAGGTTTTCATCAACAATATGGCTAGGATTATAATGAAACATTTTCCCCAGTAGTAAAGCCTATTACTATTCGCACTATCTTCACCTTGGCTTTGTTTCATGGATGGCCTTTAAAACAACTTGATGTTAATAATGCTTTCCTCAATGGAGATCTCTTGGAAGAAGTATATATGTCTCAACCTCCAGGTTTTGAAGTCACTGACAAGACCCTAGTATGCAGGCTCACCAAGGCTCTTTATGGATTAAAACAGGCTCCTAAGGCCTGGTTGGAAAATTTTGGACATACTCTTTCATAATCTTGGTTTCATTTCTCGCAAATGTGACCCCTCTCTCTTTATTCTTCGCTCTAATGGCAGCTGCACCTATATTCTAGTTTATGTGGATGATATTATCATCACAAGAAACAATTCTGACTTAATACAACTTCTAATTGATCAATTGCATTCTAAATTTGCCTTAAAACAGCTTGGAAATCTGGACTACTTTCTTAGGATCGAAGTTAAACATCTCTCCAATGGAAGGATACTGTTATCTCAATCAAAATATATTAGAGATCTTCTTTACAAAGCTGGAATGGCAGAAGCTAAAGGAATTTCCACTCCTATGCCTAGTGGATGCAAGCTAAGCAAATTTGGCTCTAACTATGTACCTGATCCCTCGCTTTACAGGTCCATTGTTGGAGCACTGCAATATGCTACATTAACAAGACCTGAAATTTCCTTTAGTGTGAATAAAGTCTGTCAATTTTTATCCCAGCCACTTGAGGAACATTGGAAAATTGTTAAACGCATTTTGAGGTATCTCAATGTCACTTTATCCTATGGTCTGGTATTTCATCCACCTTCATCACAACACCCTCTCTCACTTGTGGCCTTTTGTGATGCTGATTGGGATTCAGATCCGGATGATAGAAGATCAACCTCTGGAGCTTGTGTGTTCTTAGGCTCCAATCTCATCTCTTGGTGGGCTAAGAAGCAATCCCTAGTGGCACATTCAAGTGCTGAAACTGAGTATCGAAGCTTAGCCCATGTTGCAGCTGAAATTTTGTGGTTGCAATCTCTTTTGCAAGAGCTCCAAATTCCAGTTTAAGTCCATGTCATCTAATGTGATAATCAGAGCACAATTGCTCTTGCTCATAATCCAGTTTTGCACTCGAACAAAACATATGGAGCCAGATGTCTTCTTTGTCAGGGAAAAAGTTCTGGCTAAGTCCCTCATTGTGCAGCATGTTCCATCTTCCCTACAGGTTGCTGACACCTTCACTAAGCCTCTTTCTGCTTCCAGATTTGCAGATCTCAAAGACAAGCTCAAGGTCTTGGATCATGCAATGCTAACCAAACCCCCTTGAGCTTGAAAGGGAGAATATTAGAGTAGCTCAGTTTATATCCTGTAAAATCAGTTACAACTTACAACAAAGTAACTGACTTGTAACTAATTGTAACTGACTTAGTTTTCTATTAGATTCTAACTCAGTGAGTTAATATTGTATAGTCAATTAACTCTCTGAAGTTAGCTTAGTTCAGTAGGTCTATAAATAGACCCCTGTGTAATTCTCTAAAGTGTGGTTATCATTTTTCACAATTTTGAAACTCAGTCTTTTTAGATTCGCTAATTCTCTCTTCCCTTTCTTTACATTCTTCGTTTAAACAACAATATAACGAAAATGCTTAAAAAAGTGGAATACATTATAGCTACCAAGCTTTTATACTTTACCCATGCAAATTTGAAGCAGAAATGCCCACCATACTGCACATTTTTTCACCTTAAGATACAAAATCGTAATATCTAATGGAAACACACACATGCACATCATGTTAGTATCAGTCAACATAGACATATGTGAAAAATTAAACAAAATCTCAGCAAAAAGATGAGACACTACCTGGACAACAACATCAGAAGAATCTATCACTTTGTAGAGCTCACCCCATATGCATTTACTTTGACCTTTTTCAAACATGGTATGCCGCACTAAATCTCTAAATCCATCTCCTTCATTAGCTTCTGCAGACACACTAGGATCATACTTCTGCTCAAAAGCCTCTGCAAAGTAACGTGGGATTAGGAAAAACAATAATGATAGTAATTAGATTAAGTACAACATTATTTGGTTGATGAAATGATCAATAACATAAAACAAGCACAAAAACTGTATTATTCAGTTTCAACTAAGTGGAAAAATTAAGTACACCAATGAAAAACAAGTAACAGATTAAGTTCTTAATGTTAACTACCCTAACCCCATTAAGCATCCAATATACTTCCTGCATTTCAAATTGTCTGTCACTTTAGAAAACAAAAAAGGCATTAATTTCATTTCAAAGTCGGAGGCCGCAGAGACCAGCAGGAAGAGGGCAGTTTGAAGAGCGACAACCTCGTCTAGTCGGAGAAAGATTCAGAGAGCCATATCGGAGGGAGTTCACGCCTTTGAACACGTCAAGAGCCCAGATATTTAAAGAAGTAATGTTGGCAGAAATGAGAAATGTCCCAAGGCCGCCACCCATTCAGTCAAAGTTTCCAGACAAAACCAAATGGTGTGAATTTCATCATGGGTACATGCATTATACAAACGACTGTTTTAATTTACAGAACGTCATTGAACAATTGATCAAAGAAGGAAAGTTACAGAAGTACGTGAGAAGAGATGTAGATGGTAGCAATGAGGACAAATCCCGACGACCATACCGTAGTCGGAGCCCACCAGGAGGAAGAGGACAAGAGGCATGCAAGATTTCACAACAAAAGCAAACATCTCCCAATCAAGTCCAGTTGGGTCACGTGTGTACTATAGTCGGGGGCGAGCAGGAGGAGGAGAGTCG